GGTCCCTTTGGCAACACGGATCTAATGATGAGTGATCAAGAAACTAACCTTGGAAAGCCGCCAAAAGGGGAGCCGAATGGCTTTGAAGTGGGCGTGGTCGAATCGGCCAAGTGGACTGCACGGCCGATTCAACCACTTCGAAGCAGGGTCAACCGTCACGTTCGAACATTTTCGGGATTTTTGCGACCCCCTAGCTCTCGAGGGGGTCCAGTTGCGACCCCCTGTTTTTGTTAATAAGAGTGCTAGACATGAATCCGTTGCGCCAGAAAGCGTCTGCCGCCGCAGAAAGCGTCTGCGTTGCGGCGTCAGCCTTGGAGCGCGGCAGGTATCACCCGGGCGCTGGAAGAACGGGACGCGGCGAAGAAAAAATTTTAGAGGGGAATAACTTTCTTGGGACGTACTTTTTTGACTTGTTGAGGTAGATTTTGATTGTGCCTGAGGTGCGCTTTCAGAAAACTACAAGGATTGCCTAACTCTCCGGAAAGTACTTCTGTTAGAAGTGGAAAACCCAAAATTCTAAGAAGGCGCACCTTCAACTTTGAAGGCCCATAATATCTTTCGTATGCGACATTTTGGAAAGCTGTAAAAAGTTTCAGAAACTTCAAATATTTCTCTAACAAAACAGTATAAAAAGTTTAGTGATTGTCCCCTTTTTCAAAAAATTGTCCCGTTCGAACATTTTTCGTGCAAAAGCGAGTTTTTGGGCTTTCAGCGACCATAACTCACTTCATTTTCATTTCTGTGATGCACTTTTTTCATGGGGTGAAAGTACAGGATTTGCTCTTTCTAACAAGCACCAAACCGTTTTTCAAAATCCATTTTCCGAGAAAATCACACGTTCGAACATTTTGTTCCCATAGGTTTTTGAGCAGCACATGCGAGTTTTTGAGCTTTCAGCAATAATAACTTCCTTCAAAGAAGCTTGTTGGGGAGGGCGAAGACATTTTTGAAGACTACGAGATTTCTGCTTCTTATGTGTTTTACGTTGTCTGGAAGAATCGTCCTCAGAAAATTAGGTCCGAAGAACTTTAATTTCAGCCCCGAGAAGTCAAACCTTTCATAGGGATGCATTCAACTGTTCTTTATTCCAAGGAAAACACCGTAATTTGCCTAAAACTGTCTCTCTGTGCATAATAATCGAATCTAATGCGGTCTGCACAAGCAATTCTTGCCCTCGGATACGCCACGCACGCGCCTGTGGCTGGCAGTCCTCGAAATTGCGACCCCCTTCCGACCAAAATGCGACCCCTTCGTTCGAACAGTTCGAACGGACGGTTGACCCTGCTTCGAAGCCCTTCAGCTCCCTTTCTAGCGGCTTTCCAAGGTGAGTTTTTTGTTCAGTCACACTTCTTATGTTCTTGACTAGGGCTAGCGCATCGTTCCACACCATTAGTGTCGAAGGTAAAAACCCTGCTGGGACTGTTGCTTTAAGCTGTAAGTAATGATGAGAACGATTAAGTGATTATTTTTTTGCCTTGATTGTGGGCAAAGCTCTGTAGTAATTGTGAAAACGAAGTTATTCACCAATCCTGTACAAAATTGGGATCCTAGTAACGCTTCAGGAGAGCTCAGCACGAAACATTATTTCTCATTCTCTCAGAAGGTACCCCATTATAATAGTTTTCCAAGAATAGCATGCTAAACGGCTTATAGCACCGCTTATAACGCTTCACTGACTAGCGCACCACAGCCGCTTAGACCCATGTCACCCACATCATTAACTCGACTACCTATGACCGCCGAATATATCGCTCACCGGCGACCCTAATAGATCTATTATATTGGTAATCGTATGCAGATTCATGGCGGCAAAGCCGACTAATTACATGCCGAATCTCAGGTGGTTACTAAATCAGAATTGTTGTTTATGTTGATACTAATCATTCAACCCAGGCACACATCACTGCATTATCGCTTCTTGGTCCTACAGGTGAAGAGCACTTCTGATATTTCGAAGCCTATCTAGGTGCAAAGACCATTTTGGCACGAAGGAATCTGAAGAGTGGCTTGAGCAATCCACTATCCCCACAACAACTTCTCTCAATTTTAGAGTTTCATTTCTCGAAGTTATTAATGTTCGCTGAAATGCCCAACAAAGAAGTGACCGAGATATTGGTCCGAACTTAACTTACTTCTCTTTGCTCTGAACCACATTCTATCTAGCCGAATCTACTTAATAGCCGAGCAACCGTTTCAGTACATCCATCTCGAAGGGTTTTCTAGGGCCCACTATAACATGGCTCTTCTTCCGTAAGTGCAGGAGGATTTCACTTTTGTAACCTTGGGGCGGTGGTGGTGTAGTGGCAAGTGAAGCCACTTATCACACGTACGGTCCCTGTTCTTGCATCCCGACTTGCCTGGGATAATGAAGCATAAGAGAGGCTCAGGGGTCTTTATGTAGTGGAAGACTTGTCTAGGAGTATTGAATTGGCTCGTATGTTGTCTAGCTTTGTAAATGGCTGCACTTTGCTACATAAGACATCACAAGAATGCTGAATTCTGCGCAGAAAGCCTAAGTGAATCGAACCCGCTTCTATCGCTTGCCGGTATAGTGGACTGTCAGTCACACAATCCCCTTTGCTGTTTTTCATTTATATACTGAACCAATAAATTTTTGTCCACAACTTAAGATATCAGGTGCTCGACAGGAGGCCCGTCGCGCGGCAAGAAGGCAGAGTCAGCGGACGAGTCGCAGCGCGTGATGTGCGATGTAGGACGTACATGGTACATTCTATTTGCCTTGACGCAAAATCACTACAGTACGCGCTGCGACTCGTCGCTAACTCTGTCTTGCCTCCTGTCGGGTACCCCAAAATACTGTGAAACTGGTTCGTACACTGGCTGGTCCCGCAGTTCATGGAACACATGGGCCTGATCGCATTTATATACTACTACGATTTTGAATCGAAATAGAATGCACGCCGCATCTCAGAAAAGAATGGGCCACGTCTAGGGCTTTATCTTATGTGCCTCCTTTCGTGAGCTCACGGAACACTTCATCCATATAATGCCTCTGCACTAGGACGCGGCGCGCAATGCGTTGACAAAAAATTACGTGCCTCTCTTGACGAACCCCTCAATAGCCCGCTATACAACTGGGTCGTAGATATCGGGTACAATGGCAAGTCTCCGAAGTCTATCATATGGAATAGAGCAGTCATTGACGGCCGAGTCGATCAACACTTTTTCAGAGGAACAGATGTATGAGCTTGATCGAGGCACAACTGAGTACTCATTTTGTGCGCTAATCGCACCCAATCACCTTTCAAATTCTTAATGAGGAACGCATGCATGGAGAATACTGAAAACCGCCTCTACTATAACGGCTTACATAGCTTGGTTTTCTTCTGCAGAATTTACATGCCCCTTGGCACCCAGTTTTGGAGGAGATTTATCGAAAATCTCAGAAAAAATCTTAAAATCGAACAACTGTTATCTAAGGAAAATAAGACAATGAATAAGTTGTAATGAATAAATAGTATTGTTGACCAAAAATGCCTATACTCCTAAAAGCCAGTTTCCATTCAGCAAAGAATTCGATGGTGGGCGATGGCCCTGCATAACATTCACCTTGACAACGCCGTTGTTTGGCTTGCGAACGCATCTGCGCGTTCGAAACCATGGAACGCCTTTTCCAGGACATTTTCGTAATTCACTAAAAATCAATAATCCGTTATGCAACCAAAATAGGTGAGGTTCAAACGAAGCAATAACCCGTCGCGCTACTACGTGCGCGGAGCGATAGATACCCGTCCATCCCCCCCCCCGTTCTTCGTTAATGATCCCTTTACCACCTGGCTGGCGCTATGTCGAATCAATCATTCAAGGCCAAGGCGGCCCCAGCCCTCTGCGAGTTCCACCTAGCCACAACTTTTACCACGGTCATCGTTGAATAATTAATATATATTATTGCTTGAGTCACTGGAACTATTCTTTGTTATTAATTTTTTTCTTCTGTTTTTTAGTCATTGTTGAATACTTACAAGTATTCGTAAACGCGTTGTGTTTAAAAATTATATATACCAACTACTTTCTCTATTTTGTGTGTCACCTTCTAATTGCACTAATGGCTCTAATCACTTTGCACTTCCTCAGAATAAGTAGTGAGCAGTGAGTATGCGCTTTTACTTCAAAATAAATTTTTTACTCTGTGACACAGCCAGACTGCACTGAAGCCATAACTCGCTTATGCCAACTGCTAATGCGTAATCTGCCAAACATTTGTCCAATTTTTATTCCATGGCTAATTTTGTTGTTTTAATTAATTTGAAGTACTTGATCAGCGCTCTACAATGTTCACATTTAAACATTTTCATTCAGGATGTTACAATATTTGAATAATTTGTTGCATTTACGTATGTATTTTATTATTTCATACGAAATTTGCTTACAACAAGGGTCAACCATAGCATTAGAAAAATTTTGGGTCACTCAACGAACTCCCCTTCTTGAAGAGGTTCCCATGATTTTGTGGCAAGAAGGAATGTATTCAAAAGCTCACAAAATGTTCAAGTTTCCTAGAATATTTTCGACTAAGGTGTTTCGAACTGTTCCAAAAAAAAACGATGTGAATTTCACCAAAAACAATATTCGAAAATCAAAAATACAACCCCAGCCTTGCCTGGCTGGCTAGTCGGAGGCGTGTCCGACGAAAAAGCTGATCCTAGTTTTGTGGAGATTGCGGAATCACCTAGAAAAAAATTAACCAAAGAAAGCCAGAAAAATAGGTAAATAAAATAAAAAATAGGGAAGATTATAGTAGAAGCTGCCCGGAAAACATGTAACGCTTTTATTCTCGTAACTTCCAACAATTTTCTTCAATCTTGTAACATTTAATAACTGATTCCATCTAAAAATGCGGAGAGTATCCACAATTGTTTCTACTCACTATATTCCCTTTGTGACTTTACATAATTTTGTACCCTTCGAGAAACAAACCGCTTGTCTACAAGAAGAAGTACTATAAGTCAATAATTGATATTTTCTCAGGAGTGGGGGTCTACCTTAACTAGCCTCTGCTCAAATAGAGCCCAAGTTTGACCTGCTAAAATTCTGAGTAGTTTGCGAAGGGATCATGGGCTATATTCCACCCTTCCTCTTGGTAGGATGAGAAAAATCCTTTCAAACTCGTTTGTTTTTGTTAAGGATTCTCACTCACAGCTGTTTCTTATCTAAAGCATATATATACATATATACAATATGCCTCATTTTTAGGGGTAGTCCAGAGGAAAACCGCAAAGGTTTGAAGAACCTATCCCCCACCGAAGAGAGAAAAAAATTGGTTCAGATTTCACAGCACTTGGCCTGCCAACTAAACTGTGCCTATTTGAAAGGAGCGGGTACCTGTTTTTTTGCTATAGTATAAATTTCGTATTGAGGCTTTTTTTGAGAACTTTGAGAATTACAAACAAGTGTTGTGTCAAAATGGATCGTGAAGAGACCCGCACTGGGTAAAAAATTGCACTGAACTCCCTCCGCGCAAAGGTCAACCAAGTGCGGTCACGAGCCCATTCTCAGCTGAAAGTTGCACTCCGTAATGCGTTTCGATACACACCTGAGAAACGCCTTTTAAATTTGGCCTCCACTGATTGATGTGCGTTCAGGTGCGTTGACCTCTTTTATGCGTAACACAAGGAGGAGGAACATCGCAGCGTGGCGCACGTCAACAGCGCTGCGTCAATCCCCCCAACAATCCGACTGTCCGAAAAGGTTTCGGCGTTGTTGTTTTCGAGTTGCCCTCTGTCCATATTCGTTATTCACGCCTATCGCTCTCTGTTCTCACGTTCGCTCTCTCTCGGTGTTGCCCACTTTTATTCAAGTGTTCGGCCATGTGCATTGTGCGGAAACGTTAAGCGCTTGCGGTGCGCCCGCATTGGCCGCGCAAAATATCCGCGAGTCCGGAAATGCCTCAATTAGTTTGCCTGGCACTGAGGGCTATCCAAATGCGAGAAGTGCCTTCATTTAGGCGACTCGTTAGTCCCATCATTCTTCCATGAACAGTTGACGTCCTTCCATCTGCATATGCTAGAGCATTCATCCAATGTTGCTGCTTTTTGTACCGTAACAATGATGGAAATCCTCCTTACATACGACATTGCGCGAAAACCGAGGAATAGGACGTCGGTGACGAAGTGGGAGGGAGATGTTAGTATGAGGGTGGGTCCTAGCTTGATCTAGCACCACAGAAAGTAAAGGGTAGACCAATGATATTGAGCGCTCCGAACTCAGAACAAATGTATTATAGAAAAAATGTAGTTGCACGAAGCTTGCGGATGTTGTTGACTCCAATCGAAAATGAAACCGTCTCGATTTTCGATTTTTGAAATACCGATTTTTAAGTTTTTTTTTTCTCTGATAGTCTAGCCAATGCAAAACGATCACACATGCGTGATGTAATATGTTTGGAGATATTTCCACATTATCGACTATGTTTTTATCACCGGTTCCTCATTTTTCGCCCTCCATTGTATGTATTGTAATAGTGTCATAATGCCAACTAGAAAAAAACGGTCATAGTCGGTTATGCCGACAAGACGAGCGTTCGTAACTTGGCCAGTTCCCCTTAATCAATTCATCCAGGGGCCGTATGCTGAATGTTGGGTAGGGGCTGGGGCAGAGTCAACCCTGCGTTGCGCAGTTCTCAACGGCCACGTTGCGCAGTTTCGCCCGATTAGACACGTTCTCTCGCGCGAACATTCACACTCGCATGCTCGAGCCGTCTGCGTCTCCGCCCATACAGCGTGCGTTGAGGATCTCTCAACGTGCCGTTGCGAACTGCGCAACGCAGGGTTGACTCTGGTTGGGGTCCCCGACCGCGATGCTGAATGTTGGGGCTCCCAG